CAAGAACACCAAACAGGATTTTTCAAGTAAATAAATGAAACATCACATTCAAACTGCTGGAAACCAAGCATAAGGAGAAAATCTTGTCAGAGAAAAAAGACATATTACATTAAAAGGAACAAAGATATTAATTATAGAAGAACTTCTCATCAGAAGCCATATAAGCCAGAAGGGAACAAAGTGACATTTTTAAGGTGCTGAAAGAAAAAGAAAATCCTCAACTCAGGACTCTATACTAAGGGGACAATATCCTTTAAAAGTGAAGGAAAATAAAACAGCAATGAGATACCACTACACCTATATTAGAATGACAAAAATCCAAAACACTGACAACACCAAATACTAGCGAGGATGTGGAGCAACAGAAACTCCAACTCACTGCTGTTATGAAGGCAAAACAGTACAGCCTATTGGAAGGTAGTGTGGCAGTTTCTTACAAAGCTAATCATAGTCTTACCATATGATCCAGCAATCATGCTCCTTGGTATTTACCCAAAGGAGTTGAAAATTTACATCCACATATAAACTTGGACACAAGTTTACCATAGCTTTATTCATAATTCCAAAAAATTGGCAGTAACCAAGTTGCCTTTCAATAGTTAAATGAATAAAAAACCTGTGGTAAACACAAAATGTATTAGATACCTAAATGTTAAACCCCAAACCTATAAAATTTCTAAAATAAAAATAGGAGAAAGTATTTGTGACTTGGGTTAGGCAAATATTCTTAGCTACAACACCAAAATCATGATCCATTAAAAAATTTAATGAATCATTAAATAGGATTAATCAAAATTATAAACTTCTCTGTAAAAGACACAACAGAACGAAAAGGCAAACCACATTCTGAGATAAAATATTTGCAGAAAACACATCTGACAAAAGACTTGCATCCAGAATATATGTCCAGAATATTAAAAAGAATCTCAAAACTCAAGAAAGCAAACAACACAATTTTTTTTTTAATTGCAGAAGACTTGAACACACACTTCAGCAAACAAGATATAAAAATGGCAAATAGGGCTTCCCTGGTGGCGCAGTGGTTGAGAGTCTGCCTGCCGGTGCGGGGGACACGGGTTCGTGCCCCGGCCCGGGAGGATCCCACATGCCGCGGAGCGGCTGGGTCCGTGAGCCATGGCCGCTGGGCCTGCGCGTCCGGAGCCTGTGCTCCGCAGCGGGAGAGGCCGCAGCGGTGAGGGGCCTGCGTACCGCAAAAAAAAAAAAAAAAAAAAATGGCAAATAAGTACAAGTATGATGCCTAACATTATTAGCCATTATAAAAATGAAAATTAAAAATATAGTCACCTCGGGCTTCCCTGGTGGCACAGTGGTTGAGAGTCCGCCTGCCGATGCAGGGGACACGGGTTCGTGTCCCAGTCCGGGAAGATCCCACATGCTGTGGAGTGGCTAGGCCCATGAGCTATGGCTGCTGAGCCTATGTGTCCGGAGCCTGTGCTCCGCAATGGGAGAGGCCACAACAGTGAAAGGCCCATGTACCGCAAAAAAAAAAAAATATATATATATATATATATATATATATATAGTCACCTCATACTTGTTAGAATGGCTATTATCAAAAAGACAAGAAATAACAAGTGTTGGAAAGGATGTGGAGAAAAGGTAACCTGGTGCACTGATAGTGGGAATGTAAATTGGTGCAGCCTCTATGGAAAACAGTATGAAGGCTTTTCAAAAAATTAAAAATAGAACTACCATAGGATTCAGCAATTCCACTTTTATGTATTTATCTGAAGGAAATGAGAATGCTCACTCAAAGGGATATCTGCTCCTTCATGTTCACTGCAACATTATTTACAAAAGCCAAGACATGAAAATAACCTAAGTGTCCACTGATGAGATGTGAGATAGATAGACAGATATAGATATAATATTATTCAGCCATAAAAAAGGAAATTTTGCCATTTGCAACATGCATAGACCTTGAGAGCATATGCTAAGTGAAATAAGTCAGACAGAGAGACAAATTCCATGTGATCTCACTTTTATGTGGAATCTAAAAAGAAAAAAAATGAACTCATAATACAGAGAACAAATTGGTGGCTGCCAGAAGCAGGAGACGGGGAGTGTGAGAAATGGGTGACAGTGGTCAAAAGGTACAAACTTCCAGTTAAAAAATAAATAAGCCCTAGGGATGTCATGTACAGCATGGTGACTCTAGTCTGTACTATACTGTATATTTGAAAGTTGCTAAGAGAGTAGATCTTAAAAGTTCTCATCACAAGAAAAAACAAATTTGTTACAACATGTGGTGATGGATGTTAACAAGACTTATTGTGGTGATCATTTCACATTATTATATACCAGCAGTCCCCAAACTTTTTGGCACCAGGAACCGGTATCATAGAAGACAATTCTTCCACTGACTGGGAGGGGGATGGTTTCAGGATGATTCAAGTGCATTACATTTCTTGCATACTTTATTTCTATTATTATTACATTGTAATATATAATGAAATAATTATACAAAGCAATTGATTTATTATGGTCTCTGTGCAGTCAAACCTCTCTACTAATGATAATCTGTATTTGCAGCCGCTCCCCAGTGCTAGCTAGCATCACTGTCTCAGCGCCACCTCAGATCCTCAGGCATCAGATTCTCGTAAAGAGCGCGCAACCTAGATCCCTCACATGTGCAGTTCACAGTAGGGTTTGCACTCCTATGAGAATCTAATGCTGCTGCTGATCTGACAGGAGGCAGAGCTCAGGCAGTTATGCAAGTGATAGGGAGCGGCTGTAAATACAGATGAAGCTTTGCTCTCTCACCTGCTGCTCACCTCCTGCTGTGAAGGCCGGTTCCTAACAAGGGGTTGGGGACCCGTGTTATATATAATACATTGAATCATTAAGTTGTAACCTGAAACTAATATAACATTATATGTCAATTATATCTCAATTAAAGAAAATTAAAAAACAAAACCAAAAAACCCCATAATGAGATACAGTACCAAGTGCTGGCAAATATGTACTTGGAATTCTCTTACATCACTGATGGGAATGCAAAATGTTACAGCCCCTTAGAGAAGTTTTGCAGTCTAATAAATTGAACATACACATACAATATTACCATGTAGTCCTACTCCTATGTATTTACTCATGAGAAATTAAAACTGGTTTACACAAAAAAATTGAACATGAATTTTTAGTGTTTTTTATTCATAACCCCCTACCCTGGAAATAAATGAAATATCCACTGGTGAATGGAGAAACCAGCTGTGGTACATCTATACAATGGAATGCTGCTTAGCAATAAAATGAACTGAACTACTGATACACACCAACATCATGGATAAATCTTATACGTATTTTGCTAAGTGAAAGATACAAAGGCCGCGAGGGAAATCTGAGAGATGACAAAGCTGTCACATATCTTCATTGTGATGGCAGTTACATGACTGTGCATTTTGCCAAAACTCAGAACTCTTAACTTTTACTCCTAAATTTTCTCTACTTAGCATTAAATTACTTATTTTCTCTCAAATTCTTTAGAAACAAAGAAGCATCTGCATCCTCTACTCATACTTTTATAGAACAGTAATTAAACATCTGAAAATGATGGATACGATTTGAAATACTGTGCAAATAGAGAATTATTAGAAAATAATTTGTTGGTTCATTCTCTCTAATATTTATTTTTAAAAACACGCACAGAAGAGGGGGGACCTTCAAGATGGTGGAAGAGTAAGACGTGGAGATCACCTTCCTCCCCACAAATACGTCAAAAATACAACTAAATGTGGAACAACTCCTACAGGACACCTACTGAACACTGGAAGAAGACCTCAGACTTCCCAAAAGGCAAAAAACTCCCCACGTACCTGGGTAGGACAAAAGAAAAAAGAAAAAACAGAGACAAAAGAATAGGGATGGGACCTGCACCTTTGGGAGGGAGCTGTGAAGGAGGAAAAGTTTCCACACATTAGGAAACCCCCTCACTGTTGGAGATGGGGGTGGGCAGGGGGGGAGTCTCAAAGCCACAGAGGAGAGCGCAGCAACAGGGGTGCAGAGGGCAAAGCAGAGAGATTCCCGCACAGGGTATCGGTGCCGACCACCACTCAACAGCCTGAGAGGCATGTCTGCTCACCTGCCATGGTGGACGGGGGCTGGGAGCTGAGGCTCAGGAATTGGAGGTCAGATCCCAAGGAGAGGACTGGGGTTGGCTGCAGGAACACAGCCTGAAGGGGGCTAGTGCGCCACAGCCAGCCAGGAGGGAGTCCGGGAAAAAGTCTGGAACTGCCCAAGAGGCAAGACACCACTGTTTCAGGGTGAACGAGGAGACAGGATTCCTCCACTGTCAGCCCACAGAGGCAGAGCACAACATAAATGAGCTCCAGAGACGGGCGCAAGCCGCAGCTAATGGCACAGACAACAGAGATGAGCATGAAATGCTAACGCTTCTGCTGCAGCCACCAAGAAAATACATATATTTTTGTAACCTGAAACTAATATATATATATATATATATAACATATAGATACATACATACATATATATATACATATATATATGTATGTATATACATATACATATATATATATATATATATATATTTCCTGAAAATATTCAGGAAAAAAAGCATACGCACTTTTTGGCCAACCAAGCAAGCAGGCAATGTAAATCCGCACTACAAAGAAGTCTCACTTACCACAGATCCAAAGGGCCATCCGAAAAAAGTACAAAAACCACAGAGGCAGGACAGGCCATAGAGAAAAGGGAGCCTTGTTACCCTGATGGGCGGGATGTAAGTCGCCAACAGCTACTCTGGAGAAGTGTATGGTGTTTCCTGAAACATCTAAAACACAGAGCTACAGAGTACAGGGCACTTTCACTCATGGGCATATATCTTGGGAAAACTAAAAATCAAAAAGACACAGCCACCCCAAAGTTTAGGGCTGCTCTGTTTACAAAAACCTTGACTTCGGTACACCTTAAATATCCCAGGAAAGAGAAAAATGGATAAACAAGTTGTGGTACTTATGTACAATGGAATATCACTCAGCCATGAAATCAATGTAATAAGGCCAGCAGCAGCATAAGAGTGGATTTAGGTACGATGATTCTAAGTGAAATAATTCACAGAGAAAAAGAAACTTATCATAAGATATCACTTATAGAGGGAATGTAAACATGGCTACACATGAGGTGAATTACAAAACAGAACAGAGTCACACATTTAGGAAAAGCACTTATGCCTGCTTAAGGGGAAAGGTGAGGTGGGGTGATGAATACAACCAGAGTTTGAAATTAACACAGATACCATTCCATAAACCAAATATGTAATAGACAAGACCTACGCTTTGCTCAATGAACTGGACTCAACACCCCCTATGCACCGCACAGGAATATATCTGCTTAGTAAAAATCTTAAAACCTGTGTGTCTCTGTAAGGGAATCAAGGGTGTGTAGAGCGGCATAAACAGAGCAGTGAAAATCAGCTAAACCCCATTATAAAAATAAATTTCAAAGAAAAGAAAAACACAGATACAGTGACAGAGAGAGAAATTCTTACAAAATTCGTTCAGGGGCTGTGATGCACCCTGGATTGACCATATCTACACCCACAGCTGGATGAGACATAAGGCTGGACACTTGGGGCTAAGAGGATTGGTGAGTTTGGGTGAGGAAATGCAGACCCTTTAAAGCAAAACTGCGTGCCCCCATTCCATGGGTCCCAACTCTCATCTTCCTACAGCTAAAACATGCATGGGAAACACAAAGCATGGTACACCGCGTGATGGGGATCGGTATCTAAAACGCACCTCATTTTTCCTCTCCTAGAACTCAGGATCGCCATTCCAGCTGCTTTACTGAAAATCTCCCCATTAGGAGAGTCAGCGCTTTTAACCTCCTGTTTCACACAACCTGCAGTTAGTGCGGAGGATGAATGGGATGAGGGGGAACCAATGAGAGAATAGCTGTAGGTGTTTGGACGGGAACATGTCACTCTAATTTCCCATCAGGAAGAAGAATTAACCAAAGGCTCAGCCTGCCGCCCTGGAACCAGAATAGGGCCTGAAGCAATCCTGTGGTTTTGTGGCCAGCTCACAAAAAACCGAGTTGAAAAATGGAGCTCAGGGGCACTGCAATTCACAAACCTGCAGAGTTATAAAGGACAACTATCGTCGAAAAATATATTGAGGTAAGGCAAAGAAGTGGATTTGAAACCAAGGCAAAATTGCAGGAAACAGCCTTCAAGAGGTAGATTGGAGTCTCCTTTAAAGCACATGAAAAGCGGCAGAACTTCGACAATGATGCAGTTGGCCAAAAAGGGCGTATGCGTTTTTTCCTGAATATATTCAGGAAAAACCGCATACGCCCTTTTTGGCCAACCACGCAAGCAAGTTGGCAATGCAAAACCACACTACAAAAACATCTCACTTCTAACCGGTCCAAAGGGTTATCTGAAAAAAGTGTAAAAAACAGAGAGGCAGGACAGGCCATGGAGAACGGGGAGCCTTGTTACCCTGATGGGCGGGAGGTAAATTGCCAACAGCCACTCTGGAGAAGTGTATGGTGTTTCCTGAAACATCCTAAAAACAGAGCAACAGAGTACAGTGCACTTCCACTCACAGGCATATATCTTGGGAAAACTAAAAATCAACAAGACACCACCACCCCAAAGTTTAGGGCTGCTGTGCTTACAAAAACCTCGACTTCGGTACAACTTAAAAATCCCAGGAAAGAGAAAAATGAGTAAAAAAGTTGTAGTACTTACGTACAATGGAATATCACTCAGCCATGAAATCAACTTCATAAGGCCAGTAGCAGCATAATGAGTGGATTCAGGTACGATGATTCTAAGTGAAATAAGTCGCACAGAAAAAGAAACTTATCATGAGATATCACTAATAGAGGGAATGTAAACTTGGCTACACATGAACTGAATTACAAAACAGAAAAGAGCCACACATTTAGAAAACACACTTACGCCTGCTTAAGGGGAAAGATGAGGTGGGGTGAAGCATAAAAGTAGAGTTTGAAATTAGCACAGATACTGTTCCATAAACCAAATATGTAATAGTGAAGACATACTCATTGCTCAATGAACTGGACTCAACATACCCTATTCACCGCCGAGGAATATATCTGACTATTAAGAATCTTAAAAAGTATTTATTTATATCTCTCTGTAAGTGAATCAAGTGCGTGTAACACAGCATAAACAGCAGTGGAAATCAGCTAAACACCATCATAAAAATAAATATATTCAGGAAAAACGCATACGCTCTTTTTGGCCATGCAAACAAGCACCAAATGCAAATCAGCACTACAAAGAAGTCTCACTTCACATTCGTCAAAAGCGCCATCCTGGAAAAGTGTAAAACCAGAAATGCAGCACAGGCCATGGAGAAAAGGGAGCCTTGTTAAGTTGATGGGGGGAATGTAAATAGGCACGGCCACTCTGGAGAAGTGTATGGTGTTTCCTAAAACATCTAAAATGAAGAACTACAGAGCATATGGCACTTCCACTCTTGGGCGTATATCTTGGGAAAACCAAACATCGACAGGACACAGGCACTGCTACGTTTAGTGTTACTCTGTTTAGAAATGCCTCGACTTGGGTACAACTTACATGTCCTTCGAAGTAAAAAATGGATAAAGAAGATGTGGTACTTATTTACAATGGAATATTACTGAGCAATTAAATCAGTGAAATAAGGCCAGTTGCAGCAACTCGTGGAGGTACGATCATTCTATGTGACATAAGTCAGACATAAAAAGAGACTTATCATAAAGTATCACTTATAGATGGTATCTAAAAATGGCTACACATGAACTCAATTACAAAACAGAAACAGAGTCACACATTTAGGAAACACACTTATGGCTGCTAAAGGAGAACGGTGGGGTGGGGTGATGCATAAATGAGGAGGATGGAATTAGCATAGATACGGTTCCATATACAAAATAGGTAATCGACAGGACCTACTGTATATCTCAAAGAGCTGGACTCAGCACACTGTTGTCACCGGAAAAGGATATATAAGACTGGTAAGAATCCTTAAAAAATTTATTGATGTCTCTCTTTAAGTGAATCAAGTGGATAGATGTAGAACAGGAAGAAAGGCAGTATTGAAAATCAGCTATACCCTATTATAAAATTAAATAACAAGAACAAAAAAAAAGACAGTGAGAGAGAGAGAAATTCTTACAAAATTTGTTCAAGGGCTGTGATGCAACCTGGACTGAACACGTCTAGACACACAGCTGGATGGGACGTAAGGCTCTACACTCCTGGGCCTGAGAGGCTTGGTGAGGATGGGACAGCAAATGCAGCACTTTTAGAGTAATATTGCCTGGCCCCCATTCCATGGGTCCCGCATCTCCAGGTGCAGGGGACACTTCCTACAGCTAAAACATGAATGGGACATCCAGAGGATGGTACACTGTCTGTTCAGGAAGAGTTTGGGAAAGTCACCTCATCTCCACTTCTCCTGGTATTCGGGTTCCCCAGCTCCTTTCCTTAGAGTCTCCCCACTTTGGAAAGGCAGCACACTCAACAGCCGGTTTTGCACAGCTTGGAATTTTCTGTGAGAAGAAGGGGAATGGGGGGATGGAATGAGACACAAGCCCTAGATGTTTGGACAGACATATGCCACTCTAGTTTCCTAATCTGGAATAAGAATTTCCCTATCCTTCAGGTGCCCCAGTAACCGGAATGGGTCTGTAGAAATCCTGCCCCTTTGTGGCTGCTTCCCTAAACAAGAGGTTGAAAACTGGTGCTCAGGGGCACTGCAATTCACAAACATGCAGGGTTGTAACTGACACCTCTAATGGAGTCATTTCTTGAGCCAAGTATTCATAAAGGCCTTGTAGCAAGGCAGAATTGCAGGAAAGGGATTTCAAGAGGTAGTTTGCACTCGCCATTAAAGCACATGCAAAGCTGCTGAACATCGCCAATGATGCAGTTTGCCAAAAAGGCCGTATGTGTTATTCTTTAATATATTCAGGAAAAACCCTTACTCCATTTTTGGCCAACAAAACAGGAGGGTAATGTAAATTAATACTACAAAGAGGTATCACTTCGCACCAGTCAGAATGGCCAAGCTCACAAAATGTAAAACCTGAAATGCAGGACAGGGCGTGGAGAAAAGGGAACCCTGACAAGCTGATGGTGGGAATGTAAATTGATTACAGCCACTGTAGAGAAATGGGTGGTGATTCCTTAAAAATCTCAAAAACAGAGCTTCAGAGCATATGGCGCTTCCACTCCTGGGCCTGTATGTTGGAAAAAACGTAAATTGACAGGACCCATGCACTCCAAAATTTATGCAGCCCTGTTTACAAAAGCCTCTACTTGGTAGCTACCTAAACGTCCTTGGAAGGAAGACTGGATGAAGAAATTATGGCAGATATGTACAATGGAATATTACTCAGCCATTAAATGAATGGAATAAGGCCATTTGCAGCCACTCGGAAGGACACAGATACATTCATACTAAGTGTCATAAATCAGACAATGATAAATATCATATGATATTACTTATCGGTGGAATCTAACAATTGATACAAAGATACTATCTTACAACACAGAAACAGAGTCCCAGACTTAGAACACAAACTTATGGTTACCAAACTGGAAAGGTGTGTTGGAGGCATAAATCATGAGGTTGGAGTTAGTATATACATATTTACAGAGAGAAAATTTGTAATCAACATGGACCTGCTGTAGAGCACTTGGAACTCTTCTGAACACCCTTTAGTAACCTCAATGGGAAAATAATTCCAGAAAGAATATATAGTCATCTCTGTATAAGTGAATCATGTTGGTGTATATCAAAAGGGAACACAACATGGTAAATCAACTATACTCCACTATAAATTTAAAATTGAATTATAGAAAAGAAAAATGATCACTAAATTCGTTTAGTCTCAGTTAACGTGCTAGTGTCACATCCCTGGACACAGACACAATTTGGTCCCAAGGCTGGACTGTTGTGGGCCTAAGGACCTCGGGAGGATATGCCAGCTAATTCGACCCCTTGAACATGTAGTACCTGGTCCCCTCTGCATGGGATCACAATCTCCAGATCTAAGTGTGCCCTCATACTAGTAAACCAACCCTCTGACACACAAAGGATGGTGG